TAGGAAAATTACTTCCTGGATTAACATCATTCATGGCTTGTCCTTCATATTGGGGAAAGAAGCTCCAMAGAAAGTAATTTCCACTGCACAGTGTTTCATATTCAGGGTGATCTGGCTGGGTGTAAAGAGTACAATTTTTCAGCAACAGGAGTGTCACACTTCTAGTGTTAAATTCATTCTACAATTTAGTAAAACAACTTCAGCAAGCCATTTGAAGCTTTTTTCTTAAATTCATTGCTCTTTTGTTATCAGCCAGAATTTTCCAAGAAGATTTATTTATAAGCAAACTTTGTAATCAGAATTCACAAACCAGAAAWGTTTAAATCTGAAATAATTTGCTTAACTTCCCTGAGATTTTTCAAACACCTTGTTCTTGCCAAGCCTCTAAACTGCAAAGGTCCATACTGAAGCTGTATGTGGCAGTACACCAGGTCTCAAGGTGGCTGAAGGATCAGGAGAGCTGGTTTTCACTCTTAAATTATTCTGTTTAATTAAACTCTTTAAAATCACTTGTGAGGCATTCAGGGTCGACTTGTGTTCTTTCGAGGCACAATAGAGATTAAAACATCCAGTTTATTTTCCTAAAAATTAGTCTTTGRAAATTTAGGATGAAGGAATAGCTTCAACCAGTATTTATAACTTATTTGATTGCAGTCCTTTGCAGGCATATAAACCTCACTAATTTTTAGAAATGCAAATATTTACAGTATTTCTTGCAGCACTATGATTCTTTGTTGTATTTTCCATTACATCTTTCAAAAACTTCTGAGTATTTTCCACCATAAATTTGAAAGATGTTTATCATCAAAACATCATCAGCATATTCAGTTCTATGCACTACAACATTCAGCATCATTGAGCAGTTGTTTCTCCTGGCCTATATTATACAGTGTGCAAACTTAATAGGAATTTGATAACGAGTTTTAATCTCTAATGATCTGGACTCTCTTCTGTTTGTACAACTGGCTGCTATGCCAATGGAAGACTGTTACAGAAAGATGTATTTTTTTTTTCTGTGGTTTGGAAAGCATTCCTGTTTCAGAAGACTGGAACTTTTTGGATTTAAATGTTGTTGTTCCATACAGGTCTTGGCAGTGCCATTGCTGAGTAATTAAGGAAATTTATCTTTCATATTATTTCTCTGTCAATGCTGTCTCTGTTACAACCAATGTTAACAGTACAAAGAGAAGATCTGCTATCGTCTGTTATATTTTACTTTCAGCATGTTGTGGTACTTCCAGATATGGAAAATGAGGCAAGATTTTCGTGGAAAGACAGGGTTTTTTTGTTAGGCCGGCTGTTACAGATGCCATAAAATGTACAAACTTACTGATACTTCGACCCTGTTATATACCTGMCTTAAGAGTCACAAAGGGTTCTAAATTTAAGTTAATTTTATTAATAAATCTGAATGTATGAGAATAAAAGGTAACTAGGATCTGTCTAAAATGGACAGCAGATTTTTATTCTAAAGTGACCAAAAGTAGATGGATAAGACAGCAGGGGGATGATTCAAAGACTCCTGTGGCAAGAAAAAAGGAACGTGACATTCCCACTCCTGTGTCTCTCTATACAATAGAAATATTACTTTGTGCATTCCTGAAAAGAATATGTGCAATACATAAAATGTTTATTCTTGTCTGCTATGCAGCAAAATTTCTACAGACAAAATATTTACATTGTAATGGGTGTCTGTTGTGTTTTGTGCTGCCAGGGACCTCCAGGAACTTGATGACAGCACCCAGCTCCCTTTGCTCTGTCACTTCTCTGAGACAGCTGAAGGCCTTACCACCATCAGAGCATTCGGGTAAAATCTGTAAAATAAATTATTGGAGGGAGGCTTGGGGGTTGGGCTGGCCTGTGCAGCTGCCTTGGAGCATGTCTGAGGGCAAACTGTTGAATTTGATGAGCTTTCTTAAGCTCTCTCAAAAAAAGAGAAGAGGTTTTGTTTTCCTGTTGTTTTGCCATGTCTCTAAAACATTTTGGATAGTTTCAGTAACACATGTATTGGTGCTCCACCGAGTTAAAGATGACTRCATTTTCAGGGTATGATATTTAAACTTTTAACGAGTCCATTTTAACCATGCCTTTAACCTGGACAGCAGGGATCTCTCTTTTGCTGAGCAGGCACAGGCACAGCCCCTTCAAACCCCCTGCTATAYTGAGGTCCCTCTGAACCAGTTCTGTGCCTTACCCACTTCCCAAGCACAGAAACACCAATATGGCACTCTCCAACTGAAAGTCAGTGTGCAGCTTGAGGSACTTTCCAAGAAAACTGCAGCAGAACCGAACTTGATCTTAATGTTGTAAAATCTATCTGTTAATCAAAACTTTAAAATAAATTCTGTAAGGCTCAGAGTATTGCCCACTTTCCATGCATATATTTTCCCTCTACTTACATACAAAATAGGACAAACTCACTCCTATGTTCACTCCATTATGGTTGTCATGACTGTCAAAGTGCCAGCTTGAGGTGTTTTCCCAAGAATGCAGCTTGCATCCATTCTGCTCTAGAATTTCAAACCCGAGCAGATCCCACTGCACTGCCATTTCCACACCTATTTGATCAGCTTGAGAATGTTTTGTCACATCAAGCTAAGCTTTAGGACCTCAGCTATTAGCACAGACTGTTGCAGTAAGGCCTGTGGAAGGACAAACAAAAACTTTGTGTTGAAGAGATGCAAGCCAGTGGTCAACAGGAAATGCCTTAACAAGCTTTATCAACAGAATGATGTATTGAAACATGAAGTCGTCATTAAGGACTGATGTTGATGTATGCTGAGTACTTCTTGAGAGGTTAGAGTGGCCTTKCATCACATTATCTCCTGAGAAAGATGAGGGAGCTTAGCACTTCTTGAGTGGTTCAACTCTTTTTTGCCTCCCGGAAAGGCAATGTGGGCTTGGAYGGCAGAAAGCAAAAGGCAACCTGAGAGCACCACAACCACCACTTCAGTCTTTCAGGATCTCTRGTACTAATTGAAGCTATTTCATTTCTCTGCCTGGGCTCCACTGCCCACCAGAGCTGAAATCTCCAGCACTTTTTGTCTGCAAGTTCACATTTACTGATAGTCCTGTTAGTCATTCTCTGCAGTGTAGGTTCAGAATGTTCCAGGATAAAATAGAGCATCTCCTCACATAACTTACCACAAAGTAGTACAGTTGGATCGGAGAACAATCTCAGTGACCTTTGCTGTTCGTCATCTGACAGGATAGAAATCTAAAAGCACCCAGAAGATGAGCTGAACATGGATGAAAACACAGACTGAGCATGTCAGATTTTCCATTAGGAGGACAGGAGTTTTGCTGCCAGGAAGGCAGATGAGCAAAATAGCCAGTGCATCCCTGCTCCTCCCTGCATCATTAATGTTACCAGTAACTCTGGGGAGGTTGCTTGCCATGTTTACCAGCTGTGCAGGGGGAAATTAAATATCACCAGGAAATAGAAGGGGGGGGGGGGGGAAAGGAAGTTTCTGGAAGAACAAGGGGTACAGGTGCTTCGCAGCAGGGCCCTAAGACTTTAAAATGGAATTTGAAATAGACMATGAGCTGCTGACTGAAGTTCAGCTGGTTTATGCAAGTGAGAGTGTTCAGCAGACAATAGAATATGGAAGAAGRTAGTTTCCTAGCTTCTTCCAAACTCAAACCTGAGTTTGCAAGGCACCATGAATTTAATACACTAGCACCAATAGAGATTTTTCCCTCCCCTCCCAAAATGTACCTTGGCTCTTCAGTGCTCTGGCACCCTTGCAGTGGTTTCTAAATGTGATGGGCATTGTATGGGGGACAGATGAACAAGTGACAGTGGTAACACCACTCATTTTAGGGGTCATTCAAGGGTGATTTAGAGAGGATCTATATCTCTTCCTTTTTTCGGTCTCTGAGTTGTTCAGGCAAAGTGTGACTGGCTGAGAAAACAGCTGAGATGAGTAGCTGAGAGGTTTGATCTACAGATCTCTCAAATGTCCATTAGCTGAAATTTTAGGGATGTCACCCSTGTTGAAGAGCCTTGCAGCTGGCCAGGAAACTTCTGAAATCAGATTTAAGCTGACAGGTGAGCCCTCTGCCCTTGTTGGTGGATTGTGAGGAAGAGCTGAGGGGCCACAGCAGCACTCACCTGTGGGAGGAGTGGAGAGCRGCCACAACCCACAGCTACAAAAARTGGATCAGCTCTGGGAAACAAAATSTGTCCCAGCAGCCTGGCACTGCAGTCCCTTTGAGGGGGAAGGCTCTGATCCAAACCCTGGTGCACTACAATTGTTTGTCAAACAAATCCCTCCCCATTCCATGTGTTGCTCTGGCTATGGGGAGCTGCAGCAGCGGATAGGGGCTCTCAGGGAAGAGCTTTTAACCCAAACTTTGGCAAAAACAGAAGAGCAAAAAGTTTTGGGCTGGGGAGAGGGGAGGCARAGCAGAGTTAATGCTTCACCCTTTTGTGTGTGAGTGTGCAATGTGTTGTAATGTAACAACTTTGGTCTCGGCAGGCACGAAGCCAGATTTAAACAACGCATGCTGGAGCTGACGGACACGAACAACATTGCCTACTTATTTCTGTCAGCTGCCAACAGATGGCTGGAGGTCAGGACGGTACGTTCAGTTTTGTCCCAGCCATAGTTTTGAAACCTTGGAAGCAAACAKAGACTTTGCCTGATGCAGGGAAGATAATAACGAGTATTAATCTTGCGAGGAGATTATACACACARTTCCTTAAAATAGATCGGGATTGTTATGTTAAACCCAGAGGGTTTTTCAGCTTTCTTGGCCAGGAGTAAGAAAATACAAGTCTGCCTCATCTTCTGCTGCTGTGCTGTCTAGTGTCTGCAGAGAGTGCAAGAACAAACATTTAYGTAACTTCAAACAAGGCTTTCTCTACTACTGTGCAGCAACCGCAGACCTGATGCAGCAGGAGCTGCTTTCAGTGTGCAGAACGTGGCTTTTTAGTCRTTTTGTGAACTGTGCCATCCTTCTGCCAGGGCTGTTTTAGGCACACTGATCTTCCAGGTCTAGAAGTATCTCTCCAGCAGCAGGTTTAATCCCACAGCTGTAAGCTAAACCCTTGCAAGGCCACATTGTTTGTGGTTTTATTGTTTGATACTATGAAATATTGAAAAACTAGACTCCAGAAAGAAAATGACAGCAGGGCAYAATGCAGCCACTGACAGTGACACAGGCTTCTGGTTTTTGTGGGGGCTCTCCTGGGGCAGCACATGCRGGATTTAGCTGATCTGCAGGACAGGAAGAGGCAAGCAGAGTAACTGTGATTCCCATATTCATCTGAAACAGAAAGAGCAGTGAATAAACAGAGCAGTGGCCTGATTCTGCTGGACATAAATAGCAACAGGCATGATTAATCCTCGCATCAAAGGCTGTATACTCACCTTCTTCTCCTGGTATGCTGCTGGAGCAACAAAGTTATTCTCCATTTCCTAATGATGGCAAAGCTTTCCCTTGTGCATGAAGCTTTTGGCTTCTCACAGCATCCAACATCAAACTGAAATTGTTTCCAAACCTAAGACAGATAAATAACAGAGCAATAGCCAATCGTGGAATAAGCCTGTTAATGTCTCACAGTCTTAGGCTTGCTTACATGAGGAATGAATTTGGTTCAGGAATATGCCTTCGTGCATCATCTGTAGCATTAGAAATACTGTGATCTTGCCAAGGAATTGTTCATTTAGCTCTGCCTAATGGCACAGTGGTACTAAGATGACCAAAAAAGTATGTAGGATTTAATGGCAGCTGTTAAGTCTGGTCCTAGCTGCTGATGGAAACTCCMGGGTATTTTGCTTCTAGTCCTCCATCAGTGTCAGTCACAGAATCCCAGAATCCCAGAATGGTTTGGGGTGGGACAGACCTTGAAGGCCATCTACTCCCATCCCCTGCCATGGGCAGGGACACCTTCCACTATCCCAGGKTGYTCAGAGCCCCATCCAGCCTGGCCTGGGACACTGCCATGGATGGGGCAGCCACAGCTTCTCTGGGCAACCTGTGCCAGGGCCTGCTCTCTGTCAATTTAAATCCACATCCYCCCCACCCCACTTAATTTTGTGTCTGTTTTCTGCTCATCAACACATTTTACAGACAGATGAACTAGTCAGTTCTCATCTCAAACCTCAGAAGGAAAGATTCCAGGCAGGATATTATCAGACAGAAAGAGAAAAATCAATGAAAATGTGATCCAAAGTAAATATGATGCAGGCAGCAGTGGGAGAGGGGGATTACCAACTACATCCCATTAATCAGCACCTTGACTCCATAAGATGACATGTGGCAAACACTTTAAAACTGAGAYAGACATCAAGAAAATGGGTTCCAGCTCCTGCAAAGTTTCTGCCAATAAAACATGTGCAGGACATGCAAAAATTCCACCAAAAGCCTTCATAGATTTTTTCTGTGATACTTCCTTTTCTTGAGAAGGCAAACCCATGTTTGAGAAGACTTGAAGGGGACTGAACTGAAGAGAGTRGAATTAATTTGCTTTAGTGGTAGCAATTAGGAGTATCATTGTTACATCATTCTCATGATTTTTTTTTTTTAATACGCTTGTTAGATTTTTGATCTCTGCTAATTTTGGGGTGGCCACAAAGGGATACCCTAACCCAAATGGATTTGGAGTAATTACTGGCCTGTTTCACTTGTGTTCAGTAGATTGCTTTCAGTGTTTCAGGTTGGGCACCACAATCCCGTGACCTTTGCCAGGAAAAAACCCAAAACAAAATTATGGGCTAGGTGTCATTATATAAATAATTCYTGGTAATGCAAAACTGCTCTGCAACTAAACATTATTCTTGTTGCTACATTTTTTCCTTTTTTTGTCCCCCTGACTCTCATTCCAGGATTACCTGGGTGCTTGTATTGTCCTGACAGCTGCTGTCACTTCCATCACTGAAGGGCCAACCTCGGGGTTCGTGGGGCTGGGTCTCCTTTATGCTCTGACGGTACGTGCCAAGGCCAAGTGTAAGAACTTCCACACCAACAAATGAATTTTGTATTATTTTTATGGATACACGGTCATCTCCCAGCTCTCTTAATCTTGAAAAAAAAATCCTGCAAATAATGGATTTGAGCCAAAGTTGAGAGAGTTCAGGGCAGCTTGGATTTGCTTCAGGTTTTATGAGCCAATTAAAAAAACACAACCATTCCCAGGCCCTGTGTGCTCCCAAGCGGAGCAGGAAAATTAAAAATGCGTAAGAGGACCTGCTGTGCACTCTGCTTTGTATAACACAGCCCTGRTTCTGCCTCTACATGGCAAAACCTGCCAGGAAATACAGATTGTCATCATCTGGGTAATCTTTAACCAAAGACCAAACAAAAYAATTGCTGAAGAAACAGAAATATCAGTTTTGCCTCTGGAGGGAAACTACTCAGATGCTCAACATTGTCCACGTGATTCTGAATGGATTTGGGGATTGGGACCTTTCTGGGCATAGTTCATTGTGCCAGGTAGCAGTAGGAAAGCAGAGGAGATGGAGTTAGGAGTGACAAGGTTTGGTGGCCCAGTAGTTGATTCATTTTGCCACTTTSACTAGCAGTGAGGAGAAGGAACAGGATTTTAGTGCATCTGGCTGCAAGAGAGGCTGAGAGTTCACCAAGAGCACACAGTGAATGATAATCACCACAGAGAGTACAAATACTACTGAATTAACCACGAGAATGGGGACAAAATATCACTGACTTAATGCAAGAGTGGGCAAAAAACAGGATGATGGTAGTGGCAGGAAGAGCTTCTGAAACCATGGCTGGCATGGCAAAAATCTGGCTACTTTGAAGCACTGCCGTGAGGGAGGGATAAAGGTCTAACTCTGAGATCARGCTTTGCACATAAATGCTGGTGAGCCCGTGGCTACAGCAGAAAGTCCTCAGCAGCTGCCTTAGGGTGGCCTTAGATCCCCTCTGTGCTGCTATTGCAGCACTGTGAGAATCTGTCAACAACTGAAAATCAGTCCCAGRGCTTCAGCTTTGCTCCGAAAACATTCCTGGTAATCCCTCTTCATTAGCRGAGATCTGGAAGTGCCAGGATGTCTGCATCATCTTTGGCACCTTTGTTTTTAGCCTGTGTGTGCAAGCAGTTCATTAGTGTAAAACAGGCATGTGCTGAAGCGTGGCACAGCAGGGGCAGAAGAGCTGYAGCCACCAAGTGATCACCTGTGTCTCTCCTGCCCCACAATAACTCTGATGAGCTTTTGAAGGCAGTTGGATCATTACCTGTGTCCCCTGACACCGATTTTTGTATCATTTCTCTTTGGAGCTAAGAGAGGGAGGATATTTGGACTTGGATGAGAGGAAACTGTTTGTACCAAGGTTGTGTTTGCAGTAGACATGCTGAGCTTGTTCTCCTCTCTTCCATAAACACTGCCAACTCCTTGCGCAACTGTGATGAAGACTGAGGTAGTGGGCAGAGATTTCTGGGTGCCAGGCTGTGTTATCAAAYCTGCCAGCTCTATAACAGCAGCAGCTCTGCAGAGTGTTTTGCTTATCTGCAAACTTACCCTGTTTCTGTAATTTCCTAACTCAAAAGCTGGACACCAAATGAGCAGGTTTCTAAGCAGCCAAAGAGAGACTATCCCATCAAGAACTCTCTCTTAAGGACAGAGCAAGCAGCCAAGTCTTCTAAATCACCAACAATTTTTGCTGAATTTCAACAAAAATTATTTATTGTTTGCCGATTTCATCGTTATTAAGTTAGTGGGAAAGAAGTGAAACTGAGTGATTTATTCTTAATAAAGTTCTTATTTGGCACCCACCGAAAAAAATGGCAAAGACTTTCTCTGAATATGTTTGTGTACAAGGTGTTTTTATTGTGTTAGGTTTCTAAACCTTTATTCAGGTACATAAAATATCTCAATTTTTAAAGGTTCTTGGCATTCAACTGTTTCTAATAAGATCAGTTTTTCCTTTTTATATAAGCACCTAAAGACTTAAGAAATAGATTTCCACTTTTCAGCCTTAAATAAGTCCTGCCTAGAAAACAGTTTGTCTAAGCTACTGAATATTGTTGGAGAACTAATTATCAACTATTAACCACTAAAAGTAATACCTTTAGTATTGATTTTACTATTGATCAAATCCTTTTCATTACAAATGAGAATAGAAAACAGAAAAGAAATACTGCTGAACTGATAGCACTTTTTTCCCCCTCATGTATCTCTATGCTAAAAACTTCTTATATTTTCCACAGAGAGAAACAGATTATCTAAAAATACACAGGCAGAGACAGAAATKAAAAGATCATCAAATCTTTTCAATATATTTGGAAATAGTGAAATTTCTTAATCTTCCAATTTTTAAAAGATTAGTATATATAAAATTGAATTTTTTTCTGAACAGCACTTCCAATTTTGGTTCTTTTCTGTGTTTGTGTGCTTGAAGAAGGCAACTTTCAGTGCTGATTATTAGATGCTGAGAACATGAGATTCCCTCAATCAGACAGAATTTAGCTACAACTTTTCCATACTTCTCCTTCAAAAAACGAGGTTGAGAATGCCAAGCACTAAATTACGTTCTTAGGGCTAATTGTTTTGGAGTATGACTGGCCTCTTTTGGATTTGATGTTGTTGCACTGAGTCTTGAACTCTGTAATGTTAAAAAGAGATACATGGTTCTGAGTCAGGCCAAGGATTTTCATAAATGTATCCAATCTTTGTTTGCAAATGGGTAGAAGAACAGAAAGAATGCTGAACCCTGTCCTTGTTTTCATTTTGTGATGCAGATAACCAACTATCTGAACTGGGTAGTGAGGAATCTGGCTGATCTGGAGGTGCAGATGGGGGCAGTRAAAAAAGTACACAGCTTCCTGAACATGGAGTCGGAGAACTACGAAGGATACCTGGGTATTGCACTCAAATCTTTTTGGGGCTTCATATGGTACAGTGAAAGGATGGTAGASTTGTTCACGCAAAATGTACACACCTCTCTGGCCCAAATCTGTTCTCATTGAGGTGCAGGAACTGCCACTGGCGTGAATGACAAGGACAGCTAAAAGCAGCTCACGTTTCTTAACCTGAAAAAAATATTCCTATCAAATGCCAGGGAGACAGAGCATGACCCTGTAGTACAGTCAGAAAATGCCAGTTACAGATGAGATGAGCCAAACATCCAGGTGAGCCATTCAGAAAAAAAAAATAAGGATAAAACTTTGAAATGSACCTTCAGTCACATGCTTCAAAATCTCTGATCTTTGTAGCAAATGGGGACTACAGCATAGGGCCATGTTGGCAATCAGACCTCAGCAACTCTTCTCTGAACTGCACATTGGAATTTGTGCTCCACACACTTCAAATTTGCTTTGATTGGTATTTTAGAAGTGGAGRAAGTGCAAGAAAAGGCTCACAGGCCAACAAGCTTCTCTGGAAAGCCAGGCTCCTTAGTCCAGGGACAAAACCTTCTACGTATTTGCACATCAGGATGAAATAAGAGCTGTGATAATGTCAACAGCTCGCACTGGCAGTAACAACTTCCTTCCTCACGCTGCCCTTCCTGTGCCGGTCACCGACCCAAGGCCACACCAGCACTGCCCTGACACCATGTTCTCTGCTCGTTTGGTGTCTCCCTGTTCCAGTGCCAAGACACACTTTAGTGTCTGCCCTCTCTCCCACGTGTGGAGATCTGGAAGCCTGCCTGGCACTTCCCAGATCAGCCTTCCCTTGGCAGGGAACTGGGGCTGCTTTTTTTCAGGAAGGTGCCCAGGCAGAAGAGAGGGGAAAGGGGACTGTCACAAAAGGTGACGCTCCAGCAGCATTCATTTCAGTTTGTTTTTATGTAACTGTTTCAGATCCCTCTCAAGTCCCCAAAGACTGGCCCCAGGAGGGGGAAATCAAGATTGAAAATTTGTGTGTTCGGTATGAAAACAACCTGAAGCCTGTTCTGAAGCATGTGAAGGCCTATATCAAACCAGGACAAAAGGTACTGTGCCAAGCAAGTATCCATCATCCTCACTCTGGTGCAGATCCCTCTTTACTCTGCTTTCCTTTATAAAGTGGCAGGAGAGCAAGAATAACAACTTGCAGCAGCAGATGCATACATTTACAATCCGCCCTGAGGTCCCTAAGCACAGATCAAGAACTTWCACTGATAAGAGATTTCTCTTGGCAGGGACCAATTTTCCTTCTGCATGAACCATTTCTTTACAAGTCCATCTTCCTTGTGGAAGAGTGAGCTTATATGGACACCAGACTGGAACTRCGTAAAAACATAARAATATCTCATATTTCAGCACATAGTACCATTGGCATCTAGGTCAAAATGCTGAAATGTTCCTGGGACAAGTCTTTGTGAGGTGTAGGGGCAGAAAAGGGGAATGTGCTCGCTCTGCTGTTTTCTGYTTCTCCTGGTGTGCCACCGACCATTGGAAAGGACATTTGTACTCATCAGCAGCACAATCCAGTCCAGCTTTCCCAAAAGAACTGCAGGTGTGATGCACAGCTTTTCTCTGTGGGTCAGCGACATCCTCTTTTTTTTTTGCAGGTTGGGATTTGTGGTCGCACTGGCAGTGGGAAGTCCTCCCTGTCCTTGGCATTCTTCAGAATGGTGGACATTTTTGATGGTCAGTTTTCACTGRAATTTATTGTCACTCCTCCTCTGCTTTCCTCTTATTTCCTCAGAAAAAGAAGGAGACTTTTTGATAGTTTATAACCTGGTTTTCTGCCTCAGAAGACACTTGATTAGAATTGTTATGCCCAATCCTTCAAAGTMCAGTATCCTATTGTGAGTCACACTTGGTTTTTCAAGGGAATGCTGTGCACAGATTATATTTCTATTTTTTTAAGCATTTGCATATGCTCTGACAAAACAATATGCAATTTTTGAGATAGATAGGACAAAAAATACATAACTCTCTGGAGTGTCTCAATGTCTCCCTGAAGAATAACTGRATTAACTTATTATAGCTGTCAAAATATTAGCAG